CAACCCTGTGCGCGCGCTGACTGTTGGCAGAACGAGCGCTGATGATAAGAAAACATACATGTGCTGAAGTTTAGCGATCTCTCCACAGCGATTTCTGCTTACATGAAAGTGTCATACAGCCAATGTGTGTTTGTTCACAAGCCATTTGTGCCACTTGTGTAACCAAATCTGCCATGATTAAACTTTCACCGAATTTCAATAATGGATCTATTGTGTTTGAAGAATAAATGCATTTTGGCTACCTGTGGCAATACAATGGAGGACATTTACATAAATTGGAATTATTTAAAGATATATTACGAGTTTCTAAAGTTTTTACCAGTTTTCATAATGTTAGTTGAAAACGGCATGGCAATGTTATTATCAGTGTGTATTAACGATCTTCGGGCAAATTTACTGCGCGATCTGAGTGGTTTGTCTTATTTGCAAACAAATTGTCACTTAGAAAATCTAATGTGAACACAGATACCAAAACACTAACCAAACCCATGAGTTTTGTATTATCATAGTTGTTTAACCCTTTAACTGTCACTCACATTTTTGAAAATAGACGTGAAAGTGCACGATCCAAACTTACATTTTTATAATTCATGAACGAAAACATTTTGTAACATGATATTGACGTACCATTTTCATGGTAATGCAATGTTTGATTTTAAAATGGGTTTCAAAGGATTAATTTGGAGATTTAAAGTTTTCAATTGATATATAATTTCTGATGATTTCTAAAGTGTGATGGAGAAAAAGGCAACAAAGAAGACTTTTTTTGACAAAGGTCAGAACTCCTGTTATGATGTAGATTTTTGAGGTGCACTCTTGTCATAAATTAATCTATTACTTTTCCTACATAGATATTTTACCAATGTGTTTGTAAAATATTATTTAGGAGTCTTAGACCTTTCCAACGATATATAGTTTGTCATGATTAGATTAGGATTTAATTGTAATATAGTGAAATAAACTTCCACAGAGGGGACGGGTGACAGTTAAAGGGTTAAATGAAGTCAGTGTATATGTAGTCAATGGAGGTTGGTTAAAGGACACACGAAATGTTATTGCATTTACCCTTTTGATAGAATAATTGTTATTAATAATCGTGATCATAATTTTTTATCAAAAGAATCGTGATTATCAGTTTAACCATTATCGTGCAGCCCTACTATAAAAACATACTACGAAGATTGCCTGCACTGAATAGCGATACGCTAAACACACTCAGACCTCGGAATACCTTAAATAGCAATATGCTAAAAACACTGTTAGCATCTGAATACCAATTTGCTAAACACTCAGAAGTTCAGCAAATGAACAGCAACATGCTAAAAACACCTTAGCAACTAAAAGTCACTGTGCTAAAGAACACTAAGAACACTATAATGTCTAAATAGCAATATTACTGTTATTGGGGGGGGGGGGGGGGGGGGGGACATGCTAATCACACTCAGAAAAGCCTATTAACTCAATAACAACATGCTAAAACACTCAGAACACTTCAGAAACTAAACAGTAATGTGCAAAAAAAACTATTTTAGCATCTAAACAGAAATTTAGAAAATATCTGCAAACACCCTAAGATTGAAGTTCAATCTTAAGTAGTAAGAAGTAAGAAGATTGATTTTGCACTGAATATGATTGCACATAATTTCATTGTACTTTTTGTATAATGACAATAAAGTTCTGAAAAAAACACCCTAGAAACTGAACAGAAACACGCTAAAACACTTACAACACCTTAGCAACTAAAAAGCAATGCCCCGGCAACCATTTGCAACACTCTGGCATTGAGGCAGTGGGTTTTGCACAGGCAAACATCACTCACATTTTCTTTAGAAAAAGTACAAATGTAGTTAGAACAGCACTTGAGAAAAAGAGTGAAAAGGCTGACAGCTTCCTCCAAGAAGCAGCACTTTTTTTTTTAATCTTGAGTAGTTCTGGGTACTGAAGGGTCTTTCATAATTATGGTGCCATTTACTTCAGTGGTGACCTTGACACAGAGGTTATTTCAGGGGTTCAGGAGGCTAAGCAGTTACTGACAGCACCTTTAATGATGCCAGCTCGTATTATTGACTGCAGGGGGTGTTCCAGCCTTCAAGGTGAAAGTGACTTGATATTCAAAGGCAGCGTCAGCTCTCCTGCAGTGTCAAGACAACTCACCTGGTTATTACAGCTCCACGCACGCTCCACAGAACGAATGAAGAAACTAATATGACAATTTCAACTAATCCAACTATGAAAAATGGCCTATATTGTAAATAAATACAAAAACAGACTGTATTCTTACAGTATTACTACTTCAGGTTTTAGACAAGACAAAAAGCATGATACATTTGTTTTCGTGATGCTAAATGTTGTGGATTCCTGCAGCATTGGGGAGTAACTATAAGTAGTGATACTTCCAGGTGTAATTCAGCACTGGCAAGATGGGCTTTCAATAAAACTTGGCTGACTATGGCATTCAGTTTTGGTAAAAGCTAGGGAAACTTCAACACACATAATGCACTGGGCTTGATCCAATGTCAGTGAGCTGTCAGTGAGTTGGTGATAGAAAAATGCAGAAGTACGATCTGTAGTTTTAACTAAAGCCCTGGAGCTTTCAAAAGTCCAACGGATGACGCGTTTTGCGCAGCTTTTCCAGTAACAAGACTTTTTCTGGTTGCCACTTTGTGCGTCTCTCGCAGATGTGGCATTAGAGAGTCCAATTCATTACATACAAATCAGTTCACTGAATTTATAACCAATACAAAAAAAAAAAAGATTCACAGATTGTTTTTTTTTTCTTGATATAATTGTTCTGAATAATTATAATTCCCCAAAAAAGGATTAAACTTTACTTATACTTAATACTTATTTTATAATAATATTATTTGCAATCATATTATAATAATATATGTAATAGGATTTTTAATTTGTTATATTTCAAAATATTTCACAACTGTTTTTTTTCATTAACTAAATGCAGCCTTAGGCCCCAATCAGACAGAACGCGCTTTTTGCAGTGAGAGGCGCCTTTTTTAAATTGTTTTCTGTCGGCAGTGAGCGTTCTGTGTGCTGTTTATGCGCCCCGGGCGCCTCGCATTTTAGCCGCTTGCTGTGCGCCTCGCGTTTTTGGAGGAGCGCTCTGAAATTGAAAAAAAAGCAACTCTGAGCGGAAAAGCGTCCGACGTCATTGTCGTTTTTTTCCATTGTCCAATCGAATGAACGGAGAGGCGGGCCTTCCGTTGTGGTGACGAAAGTTTACCCTTTGCTTAGAAAGTAGTGATGGGAAGTTCGGATCATTTTACCGACTCTGACCTTTGAGTCTCGTTCAGCAAAATGAACGAATCTTTTTTCGAGTCATTTCATTCATTTTAGCAAAATATAATTAAAATGTTACGTATTACTTCCCTAATATGTCTACTACTTACGCAAACGTTGATCACACTACAAAACTGCTATAAGTTGCGCCTCGCGTTTTCAAACCTAAAAAAAACGCATTCGGTGTGATCGGGGCCTTAGTGAGAAGAGACTTCTTTCACAAACACTTGAAAATCTTACCAACCCCAAACTTTTGAATGTTACTGTAAATTTGATAATGCCTAAATTATGGTCAGTTAAATAAACTAATATTTTTCTTGCAGTTAATAATGTCTGTTTAATTTGAATGCTTTCATAATGATGAGCACACCTCTCAACAACCCAAACAATTTGAGATGTCATTCGTATCCACAGAAACTAGTTCTACACTAGTGAGGTGACAACACTTAAAGGGGTCATGAACTGAGAAACCAAAATTACCTTGATTCTTTGACACATAAGAGATCATTGTACTATAAAAACATCCTGTATGTTTCAGACCTCAAAACTTTCTTATTAATCTAAAACGGCGTATATTGAAGCCTGTCTGTCAAAACGACAGCTTAAGGAACGTGCCACTTTATGACGTAATAGTGTGAATAAACACCACCTCCGCAGAAGATGATCAACACCTGCTTCTACATCACTGCCTATGTATGTGATCACTATTGCTTTGTCTGTTAAACAGACCGCTTGATATGAGAATTTATGCATTTTTAACCTAAATCACAGCAGTTCACCTGTGAAGGACGTAGGCTGTCAAACACACAACTATTAGCCAATCATAGCAGTGGGTCTTCACTTCCGAGTCTACAATCTGCCACACCTATTCAAACAGAGCGTTCTGATGAGGGGGTCAAAAACAAGACAGAAAATAGCCTATTACTTCTAAATTATGATGCTTTTTGTAAAAATATTGATAACACTGTAAGTGGACCTCAGAGAACAGGACAAAATTAAAAACAGAAGCAGTTCTTGATGACACCTAGCCTATAAGAGTTAGGAGTAAAGATAAAAAATGGTTTTACAAAATAACACTAATTTACAAACCCCTCTAAAGCCAAAACAAGTAATTCATCTGCTTGTGAACCTGAACGTACATCATACAGTCAACAGGCCAACCACGAGCAGGCAAAAGGGACGAGAAAATGAGGGGAAAATGCACAAGATGAGATTTTAAAAGGCTTTCAGCGGGCATTAGCTTCCAGCGGCTGCGGCGAACCTCAATCACATGCTTTGAGAGGTGCTGGGGCGACTCCAGAGCAGAAAGGCTGTGGCTGGAGTCAAATCCTTTCAATTAGAGCTAGAGAGCGGAGCCATGTGGAGACGGGCGAAAATCTCATCAATCCTGCTCAAGGAGTGTGGACGGCCGAGCCTCTCGAAAGCTCCTCCTCGGCCGGCCAAGGTTTGAGTTAGATTGACTGCGCAGCTGGGAAAGAAAATCAATTCTGGGCTCCACATAGTGATTTTGTTTATCATTGGAACTGCCTCAGAGGAGAGGCAGCCTCGCTCTCTGACTCTTGGGGAAGGGGGATGTGACGGCTGAAAAGAAAAGACTGACACAGGAAACCCAGAGCGCAGGGAAAAGATGTTTAAACATGGTATATGTGGGGGAGGAGAGAAGAAAAGAGAGGGAAAGCAAGCAAGGAAAGGAGGGCTGCAGTTACCTGTCTCCTGTGTGCTTTCTGTTTCTGCGGTCTCCATTCCATCTGTGCTGTCTTCATCCTCCACCAGAGCTCTCCCTCGCCCCCGATTCCTGAAAAAGAGAGATTCATTAGCACGCTCGCTTCAGGGAATACTGGTTGATTGTGAATGAGTTCAATACAGCCCCAGCTGTCACCGAGTGTCCGCTGCCCCGGGGCGAAGGTGGGGCGGCCCTGTGAAAACAGTGTGTTTGTGTGTTGGCACGTTTGTTTACGTGCGCTGAGGGGGAAGTAACGGGTGCGAGACCTCTCATTAAAGCTGCTGCTCAATGGATGAGCTTCATGAAGATGTCATTTCCGCATTTACTCAGAAGTCCCGAGGGCGGATACACAACCCTGCTCTCAAACCTAGATTACACACTCAACCGTGTTTCATCTTCTTGGTGACTCAGTCTCACGAGCAGTGTCCAGTCGTATCAGGTTTTGGTCTGTGCACGGCATATGCGAGCATTTAAGCGGTGCATTCATCGTGTGGGTTGTGTGAGCTGTAATCGCACAATAATTAGCCTTTTTGGAATAATTACAATGAAATAAACTTTTATGGTTTTAAAACTTTGCTGCATACATACATACTTTTTATCTCACAATTCTGACTTTTTTTCTCAGAATTGCGTGATATAAACTCACAATTGCAAGTTATAAATTCAGAATTGCGAGATATAAAGTCACAATTGCGAGATAAAAACTCGCAATTCGGACTTTTTTTCTCGCAATTGCGAGTTTATATCTCACAATTCTGACTTTATAACACGCAACTACGAGTTAAAGTCCAATTTTGAGGGGGAAGACTGATATGTTCTCAGAATTACGAGTTTATATCTCGCAATTCTGACTTTATAACTCGCAACTGAGAGTTTATATCACGCAATTCTGAGAAAAAAAGTCAGAATTGTGAGATATAAACTCGCAATTGCGAGAAAAAAAGTCCGAATTGCGAGTTTTTATCTCGCAATTGTGACTTTATATCTCGCAATTCTGAGAAAAAAAGTCAGAATTGTGAGATAAAAAGTCGCAATTACCTTTTTTATTTTTTATTCAGTGGCGGAAACGGCTTCCATAGGAATTCTTACAGTGGTAACATAAATTGTATTTCTTTAGCTTAAATCAGACACCAAAAGGATATTTTTCAGGCTTACTGAGCCAACACACATACACATTTAACAGTTATGTTTTTTAACCATATAGCCAGAGAGTTATGGCTTCTCCTATTGATTTTTTTTTTGTTTGGTTAATGGCCCATCTTTTATTTTTATAATGTACAGTACAATAAAACATTTTCACAAGCTTCACATACTGAGACTCTAATGAGAATCACTATTGAGAATAATTTTAAAAACTCCTCTAAAGTAAAATTTACATTTAATTTGTATTATTTAAATGTAATTGTATTTCGTTTATTTTGAGGTGATATATGACCTGAACGTGTTTACATGAGATTCCTCTAAATATATATGATAACTGTACAATAAAAATCAGTCATTAAAATTAATATTGTTAAGTCTTCAAATGTGCACTTTCATGTCCTGTTATTAGTCTCTGTTAAGTATGCTACCACAAAATTTACTGCAGACTAATAGGGAAGAAAAGTCATCTATAATCTAGCTATTCAAATAAATCAGGTTAATCATTTAAATCCCATTATAATGACTCTATTTATTCAGATCATTAAAACACACATGCAATGTGTGCAGAACAACATGATAGCTGTATGAAAAAATATCTACAATACCAAAAGATCAGAAAATAATTCTTATCACTAACACTAGGAGTAGGGTTGGGAATCCAATACCAGAATTGGATACTTAAGGACAGGATTCGGATACGTGTTGTAAATTAAAATTTCGATTCCACCTATCAATTCCAGTGTGCGCGTACTTTTTTTTTTTTTAGGTGGCGAAAAGGGGCTGTTAAAAATTTATTTGTCTTTGAATCATTCATTCAAGAGATTCATTCAAACACACTGATTCATCCATTAAAGTCATTGAATCATTCTATTCATACATTCCATGAGATTTTGTTTAGTTGTCTAATTTCTTCAGAATTGTGAGAACTACAACCTCAATTTTTTTTTTAAAAAGTCTAAATTTATCTAGAATCGTGCAGCTCTTTTTTTGCACACTAACAGCTTTTAATTGAGTCCAGTTTTTATGTAGCCTGCTGATTTTTGTTCACGGTATTATGCAGCAATTAAATGTTTTGCAAAAAGAGACACAGAATAAATATGTTTGATATATAAGTGTTTGACTTTCTTTTAACCACATTGGAATTGAAACTGGGAATCTATGAGAATCAGAATCGGAATCGGTAAGCAGAATCGGAATCGATCAAATTCAAACGATACCCAACCCTAACTAGGAGTTTTACGATAGATGTTCGACAGATACATAGTCAATCCAGTTAATTGAAGATACTTCATTACGCCAATTAGGCTTTTCCAGTCCACCATAAACTAGGTATAACTGTGACCTGTTAAATGCTTTATACGGACCAAAAAACCCTCTAGTTCAAACTCATGCATGTGAAATTAGTTTGACACTTCCTTTTGGTCATGCTGCTTAATTCGTTGTGGTCATGAACTAATAGAGCTCTGGAGTTTTTCACATTGTGTATGATGCTGTCATCTGACCTCAGAATACTTCTTCTGTTTCCTATAGCCCCATCAAAAGGTTTTATGATGTAAAATTGGATTCTTATGGATGTTTTTCTTAACCAAATGACATGAGGCTGTAAATCATGGCTTCTAAAGGCCTGTTCATAACAACACGAATGCTCTGGGCATGTGACCAAAAGCACAAATCCTACTGGCTGCCCAGTTTTCTTCGCAGTGGGATGAAAATCCACTCCATAAAAAATCCAAATCTTATTCTCAATCCAAACGTATTCCCAATCCTATAACATACACATATTGCACAGTCCGATTGTCTGCAACACTAATAAAACAGTCCTGCGACCCATTCTTGGTCACGATCCCCAACTGAGAACAAACACGCATCCAATACAGCCAAACATCCATTTCTACACGCGTTTCTACACATCCTGCCCACAAATGCGCAGTAAAGATCCATGGCTGTCAGAATCCCGCGGGGGACTCTTCTTGTCTGATCTATGTATCACTTCATTAGGGCTGTGCGATTTGGGGGAAAATATCAAATTGCGATTTTTTTGACAAATATTGCAATTGCGATTTGATTTGCAATTTTAAATTTGCAGAGTCAAGCTTCAGCTCAATATTGTCAATAATGTGCAGCACAGTATGGGTATCATTACCCTGCTGAAAAAAACAATAGAAACCATCACA